CCATCCCATTAGATCACCCTATACTCAGATGTGTTGCTTCCCTGTTCATGAAGGTATTTTACATGTGTTGTGTTGCAAATGTTTGAATAAGGTGGTTTTTATTACTTTAAATGATGCCCAGCAGGTTATTCCTCTCCCTTGGTTTGTATCTTGCAGTTTACTGTTTGAGTAAGGAAGGGTGCTGTTTTTTCTCACAATTTCTGCTGCTTTGGCTGCTATTATAAAGTCATTTTTGACTAAAAGTTTTTAAAGTGAATGTTGATTTAGAGCTGTAAAAAGGGTTGACACTTTTTTCATACAACATTCACTCTGTGCTCTGAAATCCACCCACTCACACTCCTTGTTCTCTCATTGCTTAACACTCCTATGATAAAATCTTACTTTCTCTGAAATGTTAAAACATGCTGATACCCTAAAACAAAACTAAATACATACATATCTGTACTTATTCTGTTTACCTGCACTCTTGCTCGAACAACGTCCATGGGGTTGGTGATGGTGGAGGCGGTTGCTGCTGCCATTGGTCCTGCAACCGCCTGTAGTATCAGGTGAGGACACTCACTTGGGGCCAGTAGGGACAACTGCTCTGAAATATAAAAGACAGGGAAACGAGTGTAAGGCCAACTGCTTTGTTTTTTTAAGTGTCTGTGTTGATCAAACTACATTTCACTGTCCACTGTTGATTTACCTGCATAAAAATGGTAGAAAGGCCACCACAGCGCACTGTTTGGGATATATGTAAGTAACGATGCCACATAGCCTCTGTAAAATCCCTTAAAACCATCAGCTGCAAATATCTGCACAGTGATGTCCCGTGTTTGGCCGAAGGTCGGTTTGCGCTTGGATGCAGCGAGCATCATTTTGGGTTTGGTCTTGAAGCGTGTCAAGTGTTCCCCTTGTCCCTGCATCATCAAGTGTTGAGAAACCACATCTATGGGCACAGTGATGGTCTGGGCCACCAGTGATGCTGCCCCTCCTGCTACCACTGACTTGACTGTGTTACTGGGAGTGTACTGGGACACATACTTGCGCACCAGTTCATATGTGGTGATGTATGCCTGCCCTGAGACTAGGGTGAAGGTGTTGACCATGAATCCACGGTACAGGCCCCTCACTCCTTCTGCCCGCAGGATTTTGAAGAAGGCATCAAAGGTGCCAGAGTACAAGGCCTTCCCTTTCTGCACCTGCAGTCTGGTTCGAATAAGGCTGGCTGGATAGACAGTGGCCCGGGTGGTCAAGGTCATGAAAACCCCCAGGGAATAGAACTTTCTCTTGTCCAAGTCCTCCCATTCGATAATCTGGATTGCACCTTTTTGCTGCATGGTGCTGGTCAGTGCAGCGCTGCGCCTCTAGAGCCAAGGATCTACAGTCAGCGAACCGCCATCTGCCATCATACCTGAAAACAACAGTGAGTGTTAAAGCACCAAAGACGAATGCAAAGTAATGACTTAGCCTGTTCTTTAAATCGTACACTTGTTTACAGTGAATGTCATTCTGTGTTGCTTCAGCAGAAGTGTGAATGCTGCCAGGTTGTATCTAATCTAAGAATATGATATAGGTTTTGTTTTCAAGCAAAACCAAACCCTTCAAGCAAAATCTCTTCAAGTCCTCCCTCTGACGGACATTATTATTACACTTGTTAGAGACTATTTTGCAATCTTCTCAGTCAGATTTTTTGGGGGTATTGTAATTTCTATTCAGTCTCTAGTTTATTTTTATTTAAGAATGGTTTTACCTCATTTACTAATATAAAATATTTATAATATCCTTAGCTGTTACTGAAAGGGTGTCTGCGTATATAGTGGAATAAAGTACTGCTGCTTTAAGACCAACAAAACTAGCTTCTTCACACAATTGACTTTTGCTGCGAAATATAAAAAAGCTATAAATCAGGTCTCCACCTGACAGACATTTCATTAATAATAATACTAGCACCAATTCTTTAAGAAAGAAAAGAGGGGTGAAAATGGAGGAATTACCCACAAAACAAAGTGGAAACACGTTGGTGGATTACTACTGCTGCTGTTGTTGTTGTCGAACATTTTGTTCTCGTAACATCTTAAGGATATATGAGCAGATGAGATGAAACTCTGGTGTGTATAGTCAAAACTACCATGAAGTACACAGTACCCGATACATATTTTGATCCTTCGATGTCCTTAATATAAACACAGTTTGCTATCGCTGCGTTCAAGTAAAATCAGATCACGCTCTGCTTTTAATTCGTGTCACTGTTACAGAAGCACGTGTGAAGTCGCCGTGTACACTTGTTAGCAACATAGCAATTTCTGCTCTTTATGCTGTATTTACGAGATTAAACATTAATTAGATTGTACTCGCCTGCTCGGGGTCATGTGATGTACTCTTGCCGTTCAAAGTCGTTGTCTTAAAGCTGTGTTGTTTTGTTAAACACATGCGGTCAGTTGCGCTTCTGGGCGGAGGAGGGTCGGAACGTCCCTCCATTACTGTTACCAACAGCAAATACTGTCAAAGGTTAAAGTTCAAAAGTCATACTCACCCACCGAAGGATATTACTGTCACAAAATCAAATTAAGACAAGGAAATGTTGCTTTATAGTTGTTTTTGAGTGTTTGCTAGCTTCGTTGTACCAAAGAAGTTGTTGTGTTTTTAACGGCAGTGGTGCATTCATGAATCAGTACAAAATGTAGGAATTTCCATAGCTCGTCTGATCAAGGACGGCCAGATCATACGTGTGCTTTTGTGTCACCTGGCACAGTGCTAGTATATTTGTACATTATTGTGTTGATTATTTATGTTTACTACGGCTATCACGTGGGACATCGACATTGTGATGAGACTTTCTGTGTGACGAAAAATATGTTGAGTTTATCAACAAGGTTGTTATACAATACAACAGTCAAAAACATTTTCACATTAACGCGTCATACATTTTTACACAAGTGTTTTGAAGCAAATAAAAACGGTCAGTGTTGAGGGGTGTCCAGGGTTTGCCTTGTGATAAAATGTAATTTACGATAATATATTTTTCATGCATGAAAATATCTACGGAAATTCTTTTCTTTGATTGAAATATATCTGGTATTGTTTCGTGAAGACCGGTACCTAATCTAAATAAAAGGCTCGTGCTGCCTTCAATTGGATCAGAGTTGAAAAACAATTAAATTAACTACGTGGTATAGTATAGTACAGTCTCTGACGAATTCAGCACGTGTTGTTTACTAATTAATAGCATGTGTGTGCAGTATATAAAAACGCTTAACGGCACTGCATGGTGTTATATTGGTACGCTATTTACTTATAGTAAAGGCCCAATCATAGTGTCGTGTTTAAAGGTATTGACGTCAGACATTTATTTCTTATGGTACCACAAGGTCATGCGAAACATTGACCAATGAACAATTTCCAATCTGATTTTATTTTGTCAGTAATTTTGTAGTGACAATGGGCGTGGTTTCACATCCCTACCCTGTGATTGGTCGACTCAGCTCTCACTGCGCTGTCCTGAGGACGGGTCGTGTTGATTTCAGGAGTCATCATGGCGCTTACTTCCCTAGTCAAAGGTAAAGAATCTTCTCATCTGTTCGATTTGTCCTTCTGTAGCTTCTGTCCTTTCTATCTTGCACACCTGACAACTAGATGCATTATGCATTAGACATACGTCTGTTCAAAATGGCTGTCGTTTGCGTTTAGTCTACGTTAACATCTTCTGCTCGGGTATTTAACTCTTGAGACATAAAGGCGTACAGCAGCTAGCTTCATTAGCCTCAATCTACAGCCAGTCTGGAGCTGGACAGTTATGTAGTTTGATACGCTGAATACATTTTTTCTGTTTGAATATGAGGTATATATGTTTTGGCTACAAATTTACATGAGTCGTGCATTTGTGTTATCTTCCCAAGACGTTTAGCCTAGAGGACGATAAGCAACTAGAGTGTGTTCTGCGATAAGAAGCTGGATTAGCCGCATGAAGTCAAGACTTATGTACACTATTATTAGGAGGTGATGCAGTTTTTGAAATTTCTCACACCTTTGGTATTTAGACATGGGTCAGATTTTCCTATGCGTGCAATAAGTACCTGGTATAAAATGTACGTTCTTATGAGCAGCATTTTGTTCAAGGATATGCTGCACCGTATGTGGCTGTTGTGAATGGTGTTGATTTTTTATTTTTTTATTGTGTAAAATTGTTTGTGACATCGCCGTCTGTGATTTTGGTTTTGATATATGTATGTGATTACCACTGGGTGTATTCTTGTTCTAGTATGTCAACTAGGGTTGGGTTTTTTTACATGCCTGTGTAAAATACCAAAATTGTGCCAGCTGGACATTTGATTACAGAACTTTGTTTTTGCCATCAGGACATACATTCCATTTGTATAAATATAGGTATTGTGCAAATTATACTTTCGTTTCCTCTAAGCAAAAAGTTAATACTTTACATTTTCATACCAAACTTCCTCCAGGTCTGTTACTGGTGAAAGCAAAACTTATCTAAACAAGTGATCAGGAACATTTCTGGACTCCATTCTGCCCTATGTTCATAGGGGTTCTGATAGCCATGGCATGTGTTTAAAGAGAGATGTAAGGCTATGATGCAAACCTAGTAAACATGAGGGCAAGCGACCTGCTAAGCAACTTATTAACCATTTTACAGTTGGCACAGAGATTGCCAGCGTTATTTTTTTAAATGTTTCTGTCTTGCACACACACATTCACCTCAACAATGGTAACAGGTGTATGTGTGTGTGTTTTAAATTGACTGCAAAAATTGCTTTTGTGTTTAGCAGCTGTGACACACATTGGTAATGTCCCTTGTTTTGCTAAACATCTACTGGGCTGTCTGTTTTGTTGACATGCTGTTGTTATCAAAAGTTTAGCTGTGTGTGCTAAATTAACAGTACGTACAAAACAGACATACAGTAGTTGTGTTTACAAGATGAGCAAGTTGTAAAATAAACGACAACACACAATTGTACATTTTTAACCACAGCATTTGACACTGTCTCTGTAGTTTCTCATCTTGGTTCAGTGAACTCAACAAAGGTGAAAATTGTTTCACTTGTTTTTTTGTTTTGCAGAGCACCAGTATCACCATCTAATAGACTCACTGAATGATGGCAGTGTCAAGTACTTTAATCCACAGAAGTTAAATGATCCACGATATGGTGAGTTATCCTCTGACCTTTCCGCTGTGTCTACATATTGTGTTTATTTTACCATAATCAGCAAGAATGAGTTTTTGCAAGACACCATAAAACAATAGCACTGTATTGTAAAAGGCAATCGTTAGAGTCTGTATATGGTTGACAATGGAAAAAAGTTCCTGATACTTTTTTCCTGAAACTTTAATTTATTGCTCTTTAACTAAACTACTGGTACACATCATTTATACTCTCGGCAGTGAAGAGTTTTCATTTCACTGAAACACTTCAAGCTCTAAATACCTTTTCAATTCCCGGCATGCGTTTGTGGAGGCTTCAACTTTAGCTGAAGTGCAGGCCTGTAAATAAGTCTACGGATGACCAGCTGACTGACACAATTATCCAGATGATTATGAGGGACTGTAGACTGATTAATATTGTTGAGGACAAAAGGACAGTCAATAGTTTGACTTAATATTGACTGTTTTTTTTAATCTACACAGAAAAGCTGCCTCTGTCCATCCGTGTCTTACTGGAGGCAGCGATCCGTAACTGTGATGGCGTTTACACAAAAACAGAAGATGTGGAGAAGCTCTTGGACTGGCAGCAGCAACAGAATAAAACCGACGTGCCGTTCTTCCCAGCCAGAGTCCTCCTCCAGGACTTCACGTGAGTATTACACCGGAGACACCAGGGATTCAGAGAGCCTGTTGTCTGATCTTAATCACAGAGAAAAGGCAGTGTTTAAATGTGGTTAATTTTCACCTTTCCGTTAAAAGTGGTATTCCTGCCATGGTGGACCTGGCAGCCATGAGGGACGCTGTTGCCAAACATGGTGTGAACCCAAGCCTGGTCAACCCTAAGTGCCCTACGGACCTCATCGTAGACCACTCACTACAGATTGATTATAACAAATGGTAGGTTTTCAACATGATGTAACTTTCCATCAATTGTTTCTTCAATTATTTTCAATGATCTGCTTTATAACATTTTCACACTATTGTCCACAGTGCCATACAGAATGCCCCAAACCCAGGTGGAGGAGAAGCATCAAACCAGAGCCAGGGTCCTTCTCGTTCTACTTCCTCTCGGCCTCCATCCCGGGCAACCTCACAGTGTGGAGGCCAGCGAGGAACGTGTGGTAAAACTGCCTGCAATGAACTTCCGTCCACTACCAGTCAACCGTCCGGCTCGGTCCAGCAGATCGAGAACACACCTCTGCTCTGTCCTTTCCACCTAAAGCCTGTGTCAGAGTAAGTTTTATCAGACAAAATGTTGAAAATTAGGGGTGTACAGAAATATTGATACATATCAATATTGTACAGCAATGTACTGATTTTTTTACTAACAGTTGTTGTTATTGCCAGATTCTTGCCAATGCATGGAAAATGCATAGAGGAGATGCTTATTAACTTAAAAATTCTTAATTTTCTGTGAAGTACTACGCATAGAAACCACTTAATGCATCGCTGCTTTGGCACAATTTTCCATCGTGTGTTTACAGAGATTTTTTTTTTCTTTTCTCTGCAGAACTGAAACAGCTACAAAAAATCAGGAAACGGAACTGACTAGAAACAAAGAGAGACTTCAGTTCTTTAAGGTTCATCAGCAAGATTTCATTTCATCACAACTACTTGGAATGTTGCATGTATTTCAGTAATTTATTTTACTCCCCTCCTGTCTCTCTCTCTGTGACAGTGGTGCTCTAAAGCTTTTAAAAATGTGAACGTCATTCCTCCTGATTATGGAGCAGTCCACCAGGTCAACCTGGAGTATCTGTCCAGAGTGGTTCAGCTCAGAGATGGGTTCATCTACCCTGACAGTGTGGTGGGAACCGACTCGCACACAACCATGATCAACGGCCTAGGGATCCTGGGCTGGGGTAAAACATTTGACCTTACTCTTAAAGTTGCTTCTGATTTGTTTAAGGATATATTTAAATTGATTCAACTCAGTGTAAGGCATCATTGTGTGATTCAAGAGCAGTTAAAGGCCAACAAAAGTGCTGTAATCAGCTTTAGCTGTGTTCTGTGATTTGGCTCCAAAGTCTGAACACGTGTCTTCCTTCCTCCTCCAGGCGTGGGAGGAATTGAGTCAGAGGCTGTGATGTTGGGGCAGCCAGTGTCTCTGACTCTCCCTCAGGTGGTGGGCTGTAAGTTAGTGGGATCCATCAACCCTCTGACCACGTCTATAGACATCGTCCTTGGCATCACAAAGGTAAACCTGCTCTCCTGGTAAAATGTATACCTGTAAACTCAAAGTTTCTTATAATGATTCACAATATGTTAAAATAGTTTCTATCACTGAAGGGAAGGCTTGTAGCTTCAGCACTTTGATTTTTTTTTTTTTTCCCCAGCACTTGAGGCAGGCTGGTATCGCTGGCAAGTTTGTAGAATTTTTTGGACCAGGTGTCTCCCACCTGTCAGTTCCTGACAGAACCACCATCGCCAACATGTGTCCAGAGTACAATGCTACCATCAGCTTCTTCCCCATCGACCAAGTTACACTAAAGCACTTTAGAAAAACAAGTCAGTGCCAACAGTTCTCTGAGCTTAATTTACAGATAAATCAATTGTGGCTAAATTACTAACCAAACCTCATTTTCAGACTTTGCCCAGGATAAAGTTGACATGATAGAGCAGTACATGAAGAGTGTGAAACTTTTCCGAAGCTCGGAAGACCAGACAGGAGACCCGCAGTATTCTGAGGTATGTCATAGACCTGAATTTAAGATGGACATCATCAGTTTACCTGAATGGGTGCTGAGCCGTCATGATGGAGGGGAAAAAAGTGGGCATGAATGGACACCAAATGTATCCAGGATTCAAAATTAATTATTTTTTAAATTAAATGTTGAGGAAACTGTGTTTAACTGATTTTTACAGAAACTAAACTTAGACTATGTTCACACAGCAGGCAGACCTTTTTATTATAATGTGAGGAACAATGCAAATAGATAATTTTGGAATCATTTTTGGAAGGGAGCAAAAAACTTGCAGTCTGAACATACGGTATCCCCACTACATTTTTTGGGCCCTAAAGAGATGTGACATGAAACTAAGGAACTGGCTACGTAATCCGCATCACCTCTGTCTTTTGCTGATTCATTACCAACAGTGCTGTTTCTTGTACAGGTGATTGAAATCAACCTTACCTCCATGGTTCCCTACGTCAGTGGGCCGAAAAGGCCCCAGGACAGAGTCGCTGTCAGCAGTATGAAAGAAGACTTTCAGAGTTGTCTTGACGAGAAGGTAATGAAACACATCAACCACTATATTTATCTTGATTAGAATTATTCTGAGTGAGGTTTTTTCCTTTGATTGAGGTTTATCTCTGTATTACTTTCAGGTGGGCTTTAAAGGCTTCCACATCTCCAAAGACAAGCAGCTGACCCATGTGCCTTTCCTGCACTGTGGTCAGGAGTATCAGCTGGCCCACGGCTCTGTGGTCATCGCTGCTGTTATCAGCTGCACCAACAACTGCAACCCAACTGTCATGCTGGCTGCAGGTAGAGACCTCGTTGTTTTATTCTTTTAATACGAAAGATCTTTTTCACAATACAGGAGACACAATCTAAAATAAAGTACAACTCTGTTCAGTAAAAAAAAAAGATAATGGCTTCTTTTTATGTGTTTTTCAAATGTTGGTGACCTTCATCTTTAGGTCTTCTGGCCAAAAAGGCTGTAGAGGCTGGTCTTGTTGTCAAGCCTTACATCAGGACCAGTCTGGCTCCTGGAAGTGGCATGGTCACTCACTACCTCAGTGCAAGTGGAGTCCTACCCTACCTCAGCCAACTTGGGTGAGAACCCACACACTGTGTCACTACACACATGTTGAAACGTGAGATTTAAAGCTGCTGAACTATAAACAAGTTAATCCATGTTTTTCTAGCTGTGTTGTTATAATTATGGGATTTGTCTGAGAACTGTTTTTCAGTACTTTTTCTGACACAGTGACAACACCAGTGTCTATTGACCTGATTTTCCTATATATCATGTGTCAAAAGTTAGGCTTGTGGGCCAAAAATAGGCTGTCACTTTATCAAAGTGACCATAAATGTGCAATTATTGTTGCAGTGAAATCATTGTGTTTACAAGTTTAAGTGTTTTTGTTCTCTATATTTACTGCAATCAAAGATGTATGTATGCCCCCTGCAGGGCTGTCTGGGGACATATTATTATTATTAATAATAACAATAGTAGATATAGCATAGTAAAAGGCATATTGAAAATAAAATATATAGTACAGCGTGCTAATTTGTAAACACAAATTAAAATGATGTGGGGTGGTGGGCTAACTTTGCTAAATACCACATCTGTCAGCCATGTTAAAGGCATGTCGCAATTATTTGTTGTTATTCTTCCCCTTCAAATGTGTGTCCTTTTGACAGTATTGTGACAAAATATTAATATAAGTGTTTGTTGTATTAATTATATTTTTATTTGTTGTTATTGACTTGAAAGGTTTGATCGTTTGATTTAAACTCAAGTTTCTGAGCCAGAATAATGAAGTTTTTTTCTTTATTTTACTTTTTTATTATTTTATTTATTTTCTTACCAAAGCAATATAAAATAGTGCATTACTTTATTGAATAATTACCAAATATAGAGACAGTAATACGCCCATATGTGCTGTAGGGTTGGCCCTCAGTTCTGACACCCCCACTGCTTTATTTTATCTCCACAGGTTTGAGGTGATAGGTTATGGCTGTGCCACGTGTGTAGGAAACACAGCCCCATTACCAGATGCTGTTGTAGATGCAATCAAACAGGTAACAAAATAATTTCCTAAATCCCTTCAAAATAAGTGTCAAAATGAACGCTGTGTTTAAGTACGAGGTCTGACAACATGTGTGGTTTCAGGGGGATCTTGTGGCCTGCGGCGTGCTGTCCGGCAACAGGCACTTCGAAGGTCGTCTTTGTGACTGCGTGCGTGCTAACTACCTGGCCTCTCCTCCCCTGGTGGTGGCATATGCTATAGCAGGAAATGTGGACATCGACTTTGAAAAGGAGCCTTTAGGTAAAGAAGACAGAAGCTGTGTCAGTCCTGGGCTCTAAAGCCTCAGCTTCAATTTAGGGATATTGGGAATTTGGATGATTACAGTGAGAGTGTCTTGTGATTCAGAGGCTTGTTGAAACATGATATTCAGCCATAAACAAGGTCACAGTGGAAAAACGGCACTTTATGGTCTGAGCCACTTTCAAACAACATTCAGTAAAACAGGTAATGACGAGCCACATAGGACCAGTCAAAGTCCTCTTTGAAGATTTACAGATCATACTTTTTCTTCAGCAGAGAAGAATGAAAACTTTGACGTGTTAATGTTGACGGTTTGGTTTGGTCATTTTCTTACATTGACAAATGGCAGGGAACTAACGGCACACCTTTGTACTGTTTCTTATTGGTTTATTAAAAGTGGTGTCATGTCTTAGTTAAAGACCAGAAAAAAAACCTCTGTCAAAAGACACACCATTCTCTTAACTCATCATAACAATGAGTCCGAGTGTAAATTTCCTTTTTTTTTTTCAGAGAAAGTTCTTTATTATTAGAAACATTTTTAAACTCAGTAGCTAAATTGAAATTTACTGTTGCCGATTTAGGAGTGACATCAGAGGGGAAGGAGGTGTACCTTTGTGATGTCTGGCCGTCCAGAGAGGAGGTGCAACAGATTGAGGAGGACACGGTCATTTCGTCCATTTTTAAGGATGTAAAGAGCAGGATGGAGGTGAGGAGGCGACTCTACTGTAACTTCCTTCCTCTGGTTTCAGGTCCAACAAACCTGTTCTCACACACACTGCTGTGCTTTCCTGCAGAAAGGGAACACATTTTGGAACAACATCGACTGTCCAGACTCTCTACTTTTCCCATGGGATCATAAGTCCACGTATATTCGCTCACCATGTTTTTTCAGTAAATTGGTGAGTGTGTGTGAGAAAGAGAGAACAGTAAATTGGTGAGTGTGTGTGAGAAAAAGAGAACGTCTGCTTTTTTACTGCTGTTTTTAGCAGTATATTAAAGGGAAGAAAATCACATTGTTTTCACCTGCACCATATTTGTTTTTATCTCAGAGTAAAGAAGTTCCTCGACCTCACTCCATAGAGGGCGCTCATGCCTTACTCTTCCTCGGCGACAAAGTGACCACAGACCATATTTCTCCAGCAGGCAGCATAGCCAGAGCCAGTGCAGCTGCCAAATACCTGCTAAGCAAACGGTGAGACAGGCACAGAGAAGGCCACATTTACTGCTGAGTGATGTCATCTGAACATGAATGAATGAGAATGTTCTTAGAAGTGGTTTTCTGTAAAAAGTCTGGTCTACACATTTTGTCTCACCTGTTTAATTATGGATGTATAATATGTATAAATATACATAGCTATATGGTGATGGTTCAGTCCTGTGACACAGAGACCTCACTCTTTTAACTGTTGTGTTTTTTATTAAGGAAAAATATTTTTACCTTTGAATGTTTCCTTTCAGTTTGACACCGCGGGAGTTCAACTCCTACGGTGCACGCAGAGGAAACGATGCAGTGATGACCAGAGGCACGTTCGCCAGCATCAAGCTTCAAAATCGATTATACGGCAGAGCGGGTCCCAAGACTTTGCACATTCCTTCAGGCCAGACAGTGAGTGGACAGAGCTGGAAGTGCATGTTTGTGTTGATGTGGCAGTAATGGTGGTGATATGGCATGTCAATAAGTTCTCTCACCACAGCTTTGACTGGTCGAACGAACCTATAACATATAACCTGTAACTTGAATTTTCATTTGCTCAGCTCGATGTTTTTGAGGTTGCTGATCGTTACCAGAGGGAAAGTATCCCCCTCATCATCCTGGCAGGCAAAGACTACGGTTCTGGGAACTCCAGGGACTGGGTGGCTAAAGGACCATACCTGCTGGTAAGGAGCAACTCTTGAAGAAAGCGTGCCCTGGGCTGACTTCAGAGGATCTGAACTGAACTGATATCACTTCCAAGTTCTTTAATCTTCTCTGCTTTCCTGTGGGCCACAGGGGGTTCGTGCAGTCATTGCAGAGAGCTTTGAGAAGTTGCACAAAAACCAACTGCTGGGAATGGGCATCATGCCATTAGAGTTTCTGCCTGGTGAGAACGCCGACTCTCTGGAGCTCAGCGGGAAGGAAATCTTCACTATCACTGTGCCGGAAAGCCTGAGTGTGAGACAGCAGCTCACCGTCAAGGTAAATAACACACACCCAGACATTTCTCATTTATTATTTAACTGAGAAATAATAAAAAATATATATATACTGTATTTGTATAAATAAAATATATATACATATACACACATACAGGACATACTGTATGTGTGTATATGTATATATGTAGGTGCAACATGTTCAAAGCGATGTTTAAGTACTGACCGTATTCTGGTGGAAATAAATAATGGCGTATTTAAACTAAACTTTGAATCTTAGAAGTCGATTTAATAGATTTATTTTGCCCGCAATGATAACGAAGTGACCGGTCGTTTTGCCATTGTACCACACGGGGGCAGTGTAACATAACCACTGCATGTATTGCTACTTGCCCGACAAGTTTCACTGGAGAAAGAAGAACCTCACTGATGTAAGTCAAGATTAATTTTCAAGGTTTTTTTTTTTCAAAGTGTTTTGATGTTAGTCATGTGTACGTAAAACAATCAATATGATCCGATGTAAACAGTACTAAGATGTTAGATACATCAGTACTCAGGTACTTCATAATTCTTTTGTTCGAACTCTGCAGCTGCTCTGGCATCAGAGCTCGTGGCTTCCTCATGCCGTACGACTGAATCGATGCCTGTCCTCGGTTGTGCAGTCGTAACTAGATATTTCCTCGTATCACGAGCAAAATCTTACAATAGTTTCAGACTCGTAACAGGGAATACTCGTATTTCGGGAAGCTCATATCTAGGTCATCCTGTAATAGTTAATGTTAGTGTAAGGGGCCAGGGAAGTACTCACAAAACGTGTGTGGTGGAATAACTCTAACAATATCACGGGGAAATAATGACATTAACCTTGGATGTGAAAACCATTTACCGTTGTGTGTTGCAGTTGGAACAGTTCCATATTTTCTTTTGTTTTCTTTCCGCACAGATCGACCAGGGAAAGTCATTTTCGGTCACTGCACAGTTTGACTCTGAAATAGATATAAACCTTTTCCTGCACGGGGGGCTCCTCAAATACGTTGCTCGGACTTTCCTCTGAAGCCGTCCGCAGCCGGCCCGAAACATTTCCAGTGTACATTAGGGTCATGAACTGCGGCCCTCACCCTATTATCACCCCCTCCGTCTTCAGCATCGATGGAAATCGACTCACAGGACTGACATGAAGACTGGTGTTGTGTCTGATTTAAGCTAAACGTTTCGTCTCCAGACAGTTGAAGTCATGAGATTGCAGTCTTCACTGCTTTGCCATCACTACACATGGCTGTTTTGTTTTGTATATGTATTAAAAACAGCCTTACTCCTCCCTCCAAAAGTCTGACACAACAGATGCAGGACAGAACTGCTGACATGCAATCAATAAAGGGATTGTAACCTGACACAGCCTTCAAACCTAACTTCTTTGTTGTCATTGTTGTTGTTGGAGACTAAAACTGTGACCAGCTGGAACCAAGTCTGTTTCTGTTCCGTCACATTAAAATCAATCTGCCACAAAAGGCTGGGATAAAACTACGATGTGAAAGTGAATGTTGAGGATGCAAACAAACAAACAAAAAACTGTCCTTCCATGTTACTGGGTCAAAAGGTCACACAACATTTAAATAGCTTCTTTTTTTTTTTTTTAAAGACAGAAGAGGAAGCGTTATCAAACATGACTTACCATAACAGTAAAACAAATGTGAAAATTATTTTACTGATAATTCATTCAAAGAAGTCCAGGCTCAAACATAATACTCCTCTCAGTAAAAAGGATTACAAAAAACTTCACTCATGTTTCAAGTACTTACTTATTATTTAGCCAAATCAGTCATAAACATGAGTGAAGTGACAGTAAGGATTTAAAAATCCTGTGGACAACTGACCTTCATGACCTTTGACATTGTGACCTACGGAAGTCGTTTTGGGATAGTATCACATCCATGTCAGTGTGTCCAAAGTGCAAAACTTCAGTCTGTTTGATTTACAGAAGCAACACTGAATTCAGTCCAAATGGCTGAACTCCTGCTGTAGGACATGGTGCTCTTTGGAGTAACACTGTGTATTTGTCCAGAGACAACATAGCTGCAGCAATCACCGTAACCTCGGTACAGTGTTTCGCCTACACTTGCTGGGATGATTTTCCACCTGTTTGTGAGGGGGGAGAACTGGGTCTCCCCCCTCACAAACAGGCCTTTCAACTTCAAAGACAGATCCAGATGCTAATAGTTTTAAAGAGGGAATCAGTTTAGTTCCAAAAGATCATCGACTTTCTGTTGAATTTCAAAAGTTTTTTTTTTTTTTTAAATCCTTGGATTGGTTTTACTGAGGGTTTGTTGTTTTTATGTTGTTTGTGCACAAAACTACCTTGACTCAGTATAGCACTTTGGTTTCTTAATCAGTTAATCGTGTAAATGTCACAGCATCTACTGTCTGAATGGTGTTAAGTTCATGCATTTATTTAGCTTAAGAAACCTAAAGTGTGTGTTGGCTGTGTTAATGAGTCCTTCATGAACTCGTTTCTATAACATGTTTGTTCATCACCATATGAAGCTGTTGGAAAACCTTTTTTTTTTAATATGCTAAGATTGACATATTTTCCTTTGTCCATACTGCCATAATAACCTGAAGCTAAAACTGTCGTGATGATGTCTGTTGTTCACGTGCCTCGTGTGCAGAGAATAAAGTTTGTATACTGCTTCATATCGCAGGATGTTCAGGGTGGTTGTGGTCCATTTTGAGTGGAGTGGTTGGTATGGACTGGAATCTGTGTTTGTAGGACAGTGATCTGCAGAGCTGGGTTCAAGGACAGACTCCAGTCTTCTGACTGCGTGTTGCAGTGGGTCTGTGGATCTAGAGCAGTGTTAGGCAAACGTTTTCTTCATCGCCCATTTTGTATATAGGACTATTGTCAAGTGCCAATAATGCTGCTGTTGTGTGAGCTGGTTCAGAGTACTGTACTGGGAAATGTGTAGAATGTTCTAAAACTGCAGAAAACACAAGGGTGAACTAGAGGTTTTGTTAGTGTGTAATTGTGTTTAATTTGCGTTATTGCTGCTTTGGGTCCAGAGAAACACAGCTTTAAAAGTCTTTCCAGGATAAAACAGAAATTAACTGACAGTGAAGTAGGAAAAAAGACACTGAATGTGACTATTTGTTTTTTCTCCAGGTGTAAATAGTGCATCTTTTATTAACTGTTTTTTTCTATTGACAGTGCATGTTGCTGATATTGCAATTTGTCAAAGGGTGGATTTTACTCTTAGTGCAGTAGCTTTGACAATAACCTCTGAAAGGATATCGTGTACAAAACTTTGCAAAACTAAGTTCAAATTTTAGTGATGACTCCAACTGTCACAGCTGTAGTTCAAGTGTATATATGAAATTAAAGCTGAAATCACATGAGCCACAAAGAGTCTGTCACAGCTGGATGTCAAATCTCAAACGGCAGACGGAGGCATCAAAGCATTAGGATGACTCACTGTACAAAAGTTAGAACAACAATACAACAATAGGCAGGGTTAGGACAGTTGCAGTGTTGTTGATTTTTTTTTAACATGCAAAGAAATTGAAATGACTCAGTGAATTTTAGTGCTGTAATGCTGATCGTAGAAGTAAAAAAAAAAGAGAAAGAAATTAAAGCAAAAATGCCCAATTTTTGCTGGTGATACTTCGGCAAAAGTGCAGAGATGTTTAATTTTGGTGTCAATTAAAGGTGTCCTGTGGATTTGCTCAGTAAACAAACTCAAATACAAGTTTAGGGCTTCCAGCCAAAACAAAACAATTTCAGTCATTTTTTTTTTTAGAAAATAAATCTCCATGTGAGGGCTTATTCAGCCCGAACCTCATGTCTCAACCATAGACTGTTAATATGAAGTTTCCAGGGCTTTAGCCTCCATTCTTTTAATGACAGGACTTAGAGTGTAGTTGCACATCATTGTCTGGTGTCAGTTGTTCACCAAACGTCTGACTCAGACTTTGTTGATTACTGACATTTACAGCAGGTTGTGAAGTACATCTTATCATAAAGTAAAAAAAAAAACACAAAAAAAACCCCACTTGTAATGAAAGACAAAAAAAGAATGTCACTTTTAGTAAACCGATGCAATTGTAATGTAATGTAACCCCAGCATTGACACACATTATGGCTATTGTGATGGTGGTGGTGGGGGGGTAAAAACTGTACCACTTTCTCCCAAACTAGATTTACTCTGGCGTCTGGAGACAAAACGCCATTAAGGCTTTTAAAAAGGCACAGACATGTGTAGTTAGAAAAGTCAATTTAGCACTTTTTGTAATCACATCTTAAACTTTTTACCTGTAACCCTCTTCTATAGCACAACGTAACCCTGCATAGCTGCATGCTAACACACAACCCCTTCTCACAGACAGCATTTTAAATTTTTTAAGAAAAACGACAGAAGTGCTGAGATTATATTTGATCATTTAGATTTTCCCTTTGAGCCATGAAAAAAAAGAGAGAAAAAAAAGGTGAAACATATTGGCCACTTTCTTCATCGAGGTCCCTGCGACAGAAATATGTGATGACAGAGCAGCCACGCTGTAAACCATTAACCTCTGCTGACGTGAAGGAGTTCACACTCTGTTCATATTCAAAATCAGTGGAATCGTCCCACGACTTCATCTCCCCATTCACTCGTGTCCATGTATATAAGCAGACGCTCGTTCATCTCATAGGAAAATATTTGTGAAAGGAAAATATACAATTATTCATATAATAGAATACACAGCTATGGTGTTAAAGATGATTAAAAAAACTGGCTGATTGTATCTCCCTTTTTCAATGCACATGATTTTCATTGGTTTAAAGGCAAAGAGAGGTAAAGTGTATAAGAAAAAAACAATAAGCAGCCTGTTGTCACACCCTCGGGGCTGGTGCTGCCTTATTAGGCAATTGCTTTTGCTTCTGGCAAGAAAGCTTCCCAGTATTTTATCAACTGTGGAAAGATTGATGAAAACAAGTTAGTTAAAGTAAAAAGTAAAAACATGTATTTATTCATATTATGTGGGATTGTGATTTAGGCGGAATATTGATTCAGATTTGCACTGGTGTTTCCAAGGTCAAATTCAAGCACTTTTCTGTTGGGTCAACTTGATGTGTTTTTGTATTTAAATGCTGTTTCTCATATCAGTGTTTAATGTATTTAAGAGTAACCACTGTAACCATCGCCTGCATCTCACCTGCTGTTGAGACCGAAGTTGTGACTCCAAGTATTTGATGATGTGTCTTTTCAAATTCTTGGCTTTTTCTTTCTGTAAGACATGTATTCCACTGTTGAAGTGTACTTCCATCACCATGACAACTATTTCCATCAAAAACACCACGTTACACTTGTACCTCAAAGCGAAGCACTTCTTTGCGAACGGTGGCAGAAACTCTTTCAAAGTCCCTCTCATACTGCGTCACTTTGGCCTCCCACTGTTTGAAAAAAAAGTTTTACATGCATTGTCAGTAACTTCACTGTAGAAAAATATGAATACTATTTTAAACAATGCTGTGGATTAGCTTTAATCTGGTGTCTTTTATTATTTGTGGAAAGCTGTGGTTGATGGTTCAGACCACTGATGTCACCATGACTCAACTCTAATGGTGTTTCCTTTCCTCATGTGTGACCACACTGAACAGTTGAGACTTTACTTGTTATTAGTGACAGCCACTTTTACAGAAGAACTGGGAGGAGTCACCATTGTGTTATACCCAACTGCACAAAAAGGGACACTCCCTCTTTATTCTTATCTTTTTTCCCCTGCCACTCCTGCTTGTGGTTTTCTTTGCAAATCATCAATGATGCTTCATGTGTCTTTCTCCAGTCCTAAACAGTGTGGTTCTCCTGACTCCAATATTCTTGAACTTGACAACATTCACATTGTGGTCGTACCTCGGCGATCTCCTCTTTAGCCAGCTGTAGTTTGTCAGGCTTGTTCGCCCACAGAAGTTTGGCCTCGGTTTCTCTTTTCTTCTGCAGCATGGCCTGAGCGTCCTGCCAACGCTGCCACGCCTTCATCCGTTGATCAAACGAACTCTGCAGGTCACATCAGAGATTATCTTTCACCAGTGACTCGCTGCTCAATCTGACTTCTGTTATTTTAAGTCATTTTCACAACTTTGATCAGGTACAACAGTGTACCAGAGTATTAGGTGGTTATGTGTGTGTTAAAAACAATCCTCCATACCCTCACAGCTCCCAGCAGACGGATGAAATCAGCAATGAGCTCAGAGAAGCAGAAGGTGTCGTTTGTAGCCTGGTCTTGATGTAACTGCTCCATTTTATCCTCCAGCTCTGCCAACTGTGACAGAGCTCTGGACAGAGCAGTGTTGTCCTCTGCACTGCCCAGCATGGCCGTACTCTTGGCAAAGCTGGCCGTGTTGGAGGACAACTCTAAAGATAGAGAAGTGGAACAAATGCAGGGCATATTTAAAAAAAAAAAAGCCTTTTAGTTGAAAGTAGGAGACTGAGAGTTTGGTACTTTGACAAAAAGAAAACGCCGTCATCAAACTTGGGTTCAACACTTAGTTTCAACAGTCGCTATCTGATCATTTGCATTTTGCTTTAATTAAAATTAACCAATGAAATACTCAATCCTGGACCTTTGATTTTCGAAAAAAAAACGAACCTTTTCTGTGCACAACCAGAGACTCCACCAGAGTGTGGAGCTTCCTGAACTGTTGGTCTGAAGACTCCACCTCCTGCAGTTTCTCCTCAAACCACTGCAACAAAATAACTGCTAAATACCATTTTAACATAAAGAAACACACAATCACAGCCTTTTTATGTGACATTCTGTTTGTCACACGATCAACATGTTCTGTTTGTTTGTAACAAGCGGTTGTGTGCTTTGTCACACGATCAACATGTTCTGTTTCCGACAGGACTGTCTGCATTTTTCTCATTAGAAAGAATGATCTGCTGCACAACAGTTCCCTAGGAGCATGAACAGGCTGTAACAAGCGGTTGTGTGTTTGTGCGTGTGTCAGGTGAACTCACAGCATCTGACTCGTTCATCTTAATGGTCATTTTACTGACAGCGTCTGTTGCTTTGTTAATCATTTTAAAGAATCCAGCACTGCTCAGAGCCTGAGTGCTCACTGCTCTGGGCAGCTGCAGAGAAAGAAGTGACAAATGATGAGAAGCAAACAAACAGCAGCTGACAACATAATATCCACCAAACTGACTTAATTCACTGAAAGAACTAAAAAAAAAACTCCAGCATATCTCTATCCTGATGTTTTATTTCTACGTTTTTTTGTCAGCTTACTTCTTCTCTCTCCAGAAACTCTCTAACATCTGGGTCTTGGAGAAGCGATGGGTGGCTGACTATCCTCTGGATATACCTGGTTAAAACAGGGACAGTGAAACAATCATTTACATTACCAATTTGGAAGGCAAATAGAGGTATTTTCTTGTTTGTTTGCTCTTGTTTAAATGTTGTTTAAAGACTCGGGTGCTGTTACCTCTCCAGGGCGCCCCTCCTTCTCTCAACAAAGTCTGTAGATGAGGAATCTTCCTTCCCGACCTTGACCTTTGTCATACCTGCACAGGACAGCAGCCTTTGGTTGCCATGTGTTGAAAATTCAAATTCATTTCTTCAACTTCATTTAGAAATCGTTTACCCCGGAGGCTTTTCTCTGGAGGTGGGGGCACAATGTATCCATTTGGTCCATGTTTTTCAGAGAGCTTCTCGTAGAGGCCGAGGAAGTCGCTGTAGCGCCGCCTCACTGTGAAGGTTTTGCTGCGGAACATTGGCAGTGTGGTCTGAAAGAGAAACATTTTTTACGGTAAGGTTTTAGTTTATAGTTATTATTATTCAATATATAGAAATCACTACTTACACTACAGGAATCACTGGATTAATTAGACATTCTTCAAATACAAACTTCTATCTAAGTAAATTCACTACAACAAATTCCCGTCTAGTCTATTTGTCACTTTTAGGAACAGTGTGTGGACATTTCTTTTGACAAAAACTGACCAGTACTTTTTTTTCTACTCTTACCACAGATGACATGACTAACTGCAGTAACTTCCTGTGAAAACGTCTTGTTTTCACAATACTTAAAATGCAAAGCTGATGGTTTTTACCTCAGTGGAAACTTTGTAGGCCATGTAAGCATTCATTCCATCACCTGAAAAAAAAAAAGACAATAACTTGGAGTTGGTGCAAATGGACTTGTCTCACTCATCTCCTCCTTATAGTTCCTTTGTCATTTTCCAGTTATAAAATTACTAAACCAAGGATCTTAATCAATCTTTAATCAATCCATAACCCAGTATACAAGTTATATACTTATATATTAAACTGCAGAGTAATACTGTAAAAATTGTACCTATTTTTTCTGGATCTTTGACAGAGACAAGGACATCAAATTTATCTTCTTCTTCCTCCTCTTCCTCCAGCTGCAAATAAAAATGGAACAAAAGAACAAAATTATAATGTACCAACTGTAGCAGCAATACATGTTGGTGAAAGACAGGCAACTAGAGATAACAGCCTCTGCTTTTGGTCAGACTAAGAAACAGAGGTTTTGAATGTTAAGATGTTTCAATGTTTTTTTTAATCATTCTGTTTCTTTAAGCAGGACTGAATGATTGACTGGTGCAAAAAAATGTTGTGGTCCACATTTCCGTTTTGGTCCCAGTAAGACTTGGACTCTGATTTTAGATATCTACTCTGTACCTCCTCAAGGGCAGCAGGCTGTTTTTTGGCCATGCTGGCAGCGACTGACAGTGAGGGGGTGGAAACAGACGGTTTAGCTGCCGCTTCCTTCTTCCGCTCATTCCGTGGACTGTCGAGGGAAAGTTCCACTGTGGCTTCTGCTGGACAGGAAAGAGAAAGTGAACAAACCAGATATAGTCATTCTGTACTGCATGAAAGTATGAGAATACGTCATTCATGTTTTAGACTCTTTTGCATTATCTCTAATTTACACCTGCAAGAATCTTATCGCTATATTTTATATTACTGTTCTGAAACATGTTGAGTTGAAATAAACTGTTAGCTTTTAACTCATTCTGCTAACAATGCAAAGAAGAAAACAACTCTGAATCCTCACTTTCATTATCCACATGTGACTTTGAGGCCATTACATGTAAAGAAATCTGTTTAAAAAGAAGCTTAAAGGTTTAAACAAATAAAAATAGTGAATCAACCAGCAAAGATGTCCGGTTCCTCTTCTGTTAGGATTCCGTTGGTCCCAGAGTTGACAGTGCTGATGTTGCTCTTGGCGGGCGCTGTGATGACGCATTCTTCACTGAAGATATCAGCAGGTTCTTGTAAAGGCTTAGCTGTATTGAAAGCGTCACCTCCAGCGGCTTTAACTGGGTCAGACGTGACCTTCTGCTCTTTGCTGATGCTTTTCTTTGAGGTGGCGCCCAACGGCTCCCCAAACAGATCCTCGTCTGGATCACCAAAGAGACTTTTCTGTGGTTGTTTGCCTGACTTGGTCTGCCGAGGCTCCCCAAACAGGTCACTTCCCTCATCGTCAAACAAATCAATTGTTGCTGTTTTTTTGGCTTCCGTTGTCAGTGGATCATCACTTAGGATGTCAACCAGAGGGTCAGCAGTTTTATCTACTGAAGACAATTGTTTGGTGTCACAATTGATGTCCATTACCGTTGCGGTACTTGCTTCATTGTCTTCATCTCCAGGTGGATCTGTAACACTTCCTGTCATTTCACTTTCCTCTTCTGCAGCTGCTTTAGCAGTAACATCCATTACGACCACTTCCTCTTGTACAGCTTCAGTTTCACTTCCCAGTATGTCAACAAAGTCATCTGAGGGTTCATCTATAGAGAAGAAAGCTGTGTCCTTTGCCTCAGGTGTGATTGTATCTGCAGCCGGTTTCATTATGTTGTTTGTTAAGTCGACAAAATCATCCAAAGGTTCACTGATGACATCAGCCACCGATTTCTTTTCTGTTTGGCTGCCGGCTGGCTCAAACAGGGGGTCACTTATGATTTCTGTGGGTGTTGTTAAAAGGTCACTGGGCGGACTGGTCGGTGATGGAGTGGTGTCCATTTCAGTCACTGGAGGGCTGCTCTGAAGAGAAAAAGATAAAAAAAAAAGATTAAAATGATCAAAAAAATAGAATGATCAAAAAAAGTTTAAACAAACTTGGAAAGGAAACTCAGATTTCTTCTGCGCCAACGCATGTTTAATTTTAATATTTATTAAATGTAAATCTGCCTCATCAACCAGTCTGAACATTTGGTGTATGTGGCAAAATACAGAATTTGTAAAATTTACAAACTGATCCACACTAGCAGCCCACTGAAGTCACTTTCAACCATAGTCTTGTCCATTTCTATTGCCTCACCTCTGTTACAATGTAAATTCCACAAATGCTGACTTGGTTTTCCTGCAGTGAGTCCAGAAAAAAAAAACCAAAGACAGCAACTTTACAATCTTTCCTCTGAACCTTGACTGGAAAACATCCGGGGTCTGATCATGTGACCACAGCTGACTCACATGACAGGGCACTGACACAACCAGCTTTTCACTCTCACTGCAAAAGGAGCTGAATTTAAACTCGGCAAACAAATGCGAGGTAACAGAGTGGTCACCTTGACAATGCCGCAGCTATCAACTGTCACAGCGAAGCCAAGAGGAACTTATTTTTCACCATGTAATAATAGAAAAGAATTCTGCTTCAGCACATTTGTTAGATTTCTTTTCACAGTTCATGTACCAGATGCTAACTTTCCAGGAGTATCAGATTTCTTCTCACACACGGCACATTAAAGGAACTTTAATCAGTAAATAAAATCTCATACAACAAAACAGCAGTTTGGCCAACTGATGTCATTTAAAATGTAAAAGAAAAGCAAACAAATAATAACTGCAAACTAAGTTCAGCATTTCATCTGTAGTGTAGGAATGTGGTTTCCTTGTGACCTGATAAATCACAACCGGACAGTTTACCTGGCACAGGAAAGTCAGACAAAGGACAGATTCTAACCTCCATACTGTAGTAGTACTAGGACTAGTATTTGTTGTAATAAAACCTAACATTTCAAACATGTTAGGTATTCCAATAGTAGTGGTAGTAAGTAGTGGTAGTAATAGTACTAATTCCAATAGTAGTGGTAGTAATAGTAGTATACTAGTAACAATGGCAGTACATGTAGTAATAAAGGTGGCAGCAGTAGCATTTGTAGTAAAAGTACAAAAAAACTTCTTTGTTGTAGTCATAGTAACAGAAAGAGTACTGTTCATAATAGTTGTTTTATTATTTGAGATTGCGGCATTATTGAGATATTTCCACAAGTTGCACTAGTAATATTTGTAGTAGTGGTGGTAGTAGTATTTGAGGTAGTCGTTTTCACGGTAGTATTTGTAGGACGAGCATCAGTTGTAGCATCTGTGGTGATACTTGAGCAAGCTGCGTTTGTGTTGGCGACTAATAGGCTACAACGACTAAGGCTGTATCGATGTTTGCGATTAGTATATTAGGTAGTAGTCCATGTAGTAGATTTTGTACATATAATAGCAGTTTTGTTGCAGTGGTAGTTGATTGATAAGCAGTAGTATTACTTCAGTTATAGTGCTGTCAATAACAAAGATTTAAATGTGACGTGATTTGTAATGTCAGTCTCCTGTTAGGTATTCCGTGTAATGACAGAAAAGAAAGTACACCAAAACTGACATGCTGCAAGGTGACGAGAAAATCTGTATTTAAAACCGTATTGAGTTTAATATTAAGTCAGTGCCGTCCATTTGTAAACGGTTCCGTGTTCAGATCCATAGTACAAAACCGCCTGAACTAAATCCAAACTTGTGCAAAGTGCTTCGTTAGCTTCCTTTGCGTAATGTTAGCTTAGACTATATAACAGTTTCTAGCAAAAATGAGAGTCGTGATTTTGTTACTTAGACGTACTGCACTGACGAACAGGTCGTCCCCATCATCTTCATCACTGTCTCGGCCCACGACGTCCTCCGAGTCCAGCACATCTTGGTCCTCGGAGTCGGGAAAAGGTGGCGGACTGCGCTCCGAGCTGGTCGCCATCTTCAATCTTCAATCTTTTTTTAACGCAAGGGGAGGTAACGTCAAGCCGCTCGCGTCTCACACACGCACAAGGCCGGTAGTAGTAGAGCACCAACACGGAATCACTATTGCTGCAACTTTGCCGGAGGGACTTGTTCACTATCAGACCGACGGAGTGAAAAAAGGAAGAGGAGCAGTGCAGAGAGGAGGCTCGGTGTGAGCAGAGTGACCGAGCCACTACTGTCTTCTTACTTCCTGGTCCTCCTCTTCTCGTCAGGCTAGCTGCTGTCTGCGTTAGCTCACTGGCAGTCAGTCATGGGACTCATGAGGCAGTGGAAGCGATAAAACAGGAGTAGAACAAGCCTCAACAGGGCAGTGGGTTCACATGACGGCTTGCTGCAAAAATACTCAGCCCACTGCCTACAAACAACCGTAGGGATGTCTCGTATGGCACGTAGCGGGGATGTGGAGTCGCGGCGACCGCTACTCCATACTGGAGACAACTTTGAGTCAGACGAAGGTAAAACTCAATTGAATTCATAACATATGCAATATGTTTTTTTTAAAAGTTATTTTGTTACCAAAAGACTGACCCGGGATCCTCACATGGGTCGCGGGACACTTTTGTGTGGTCGCAAATGTCGACCATGTGATTGTTATCCTCCCAATCAGCTGTTTGTTGTTTACAAAGCGTTGACAAGCTGACACTGTTGACCACCATGTTCGTGAATTAGCCACCTGTAGTCAACGTAAGAACATTATTTTTGTATTAACTTAAAGCTACCATTAGTTATCCAACGTCTTGGACAGAATTCCCCACTAGATGTTTGCTGTGCCTTTGATGGGTTTATTGTGTCCTTTATTGCCTTGTTGATAACATCAAATGGTAAATGAAAAGGTTCTAAGACAAACCGAAAAACTAAGATTGTGTGGTTATTAAAATGGATACCTTTTGGAATTCTAACATCTGCCTTACAACTTTAGGATTTACCCTTGATTTATTAATGATTTGCATCAATGGTTGCATCAAAGTGTAGACTACAAAATAAGAAGTAAGGACGAAAAGAAATAGAGAAAAAAAAGGAATTTAGAGGAATACTTGGTGAAGATGGCCATCAGATCTCAGGCCTTCTCACTGAAAACAAACAAACAATGAGCTAAACAATGAGCTACTAATGGTCTAAAGTTGCCTGCATGATGACAAGTGTAACTCTTGAGTGGGGACTGTGCTCGAGGAAGGGAGACAGAGAGACAGACAAAAAACAGGAGGGAGTGTAGAGCTGCTCTGACATTTGAACGAGGCACAGTGACATTACTGTGTCATACAAGTTCTGCTAACAGCTGTGTGGTTACCTGCACGCCATCAGGTGTCTTTGCTTCTTTATATCCGAGCATGTTATTGAATCCTTTTCAACATTTTGCACGTGCACTTACTAATTTAACATTGGGAGCTGGTAGATGTTGTTTTTCTACAAACAGCAGCAATGTCATGCTACTAAAAGTTTTGTAATTTTTTATGAAATGGCATCAAAGTAGAAATACACAAATTTAGTTCCAGTTGTGATTTATGGAGAAACATGTATTAATGTCATCCAAATGCATATATTGTTACGGTTATAGACATATATATATATATACATATATATATATATATATTTTGTTTTTGATAACTTATGGTTAGATAGAATTTTGCAAACCCTTTCACTTCTTCCCAAACAACTGCTTGGTTCCTGTTCCGCCCCTTGTGTATAAGTAATTCAAAATAATGATGAAATAATACAGCATAAACCCAGACAAAACTGTGAAGCTGACTATTTTGTCATGGAGGTTAGTACACTTTGTGTAGTGTACTAGTTGCCAGACTTGTATTTAAACCTGACATGTGAGTTACTTTGCCCTGCAGGTGAGCTAATATTTGAAAGAAGTACAGCCGAGAAACAAGAGGGTGTGGGCAGTGATCAGAGGAGGCTGACCTACGAGGAGGCAGTGGAACAAACAGGTGAGCTTTAAGATTCCTGAGCGTGCTAAGTATTATGAAATACAGTATATGGTTAAGCCAAATACAGTTTGAGAAAAATTGTCAAGGGATTGATAGAACTTGATACTCTTGTCTAAAAGTTTTTTTTCTATATAACATGTACTGTGTGCATCCTCTTTACACTCCACCAAGTTTGCGCGTCTTTCCAGACAGCTTATTTAACAAACCGTACTTTATTACTGCAGACACCAGCAGGATACCCATTCCTTTTTTTTTCTTCCAGACTTTGGTTTGTTTCACTGGTTGCTGCTGGTGGTCTGTGGCTGGGCAAACGCCAGTGATGCAGTGGAGGTTCTCTGTGTGTCCTTTCTCCTGCCAACAGCACAGTGTGATCTGGCACTAAGCTCTTCAGACATGGGTCTGTTGACTGCCAGCATTTTCCTGGGTGAATTACACATTATTTACTATATGGAAGCAGTTTATAATGTGATTAACTGACAGCAGCTATTTATATTATGTTTTTAGTTATTATGCTTTTTTTGCAATGTGATAAACATAAAAATATCTCCATGTATTGTAAATCTTTTTCTTTTAAAAAAAAGTAGATAGTAGATAGAGCGTGCATGTCTGTAATATAATGATTCCACAGGATTCAATTTAGCAGTTTTTGAATGAATACACCTACGAGAAATGTATTTATGTTTAGAATTGTATTTGTTTGAACTATTTTGGTTTAACATTTTTTGTAACTGACCTTGGAAAGTTTGTCTCAAAATCATTAAAGGGATAGAAAAAGCTAGGGGTCAGGAGTTGAAAGAGTTTAATACAATCGAGAGACAAGATGGTTAAAAAAAATATGACATGACAAAAATGAAATTGGAACAAAACCCGGTCAGGAGTTGAAAGAGTTTAATACAAAAATGACAAAAATGAAATTGGAATAAAACTTGTCATTTTAAGTATGAAAATGTCTAACATAAAATATATATCATTGTATTATTTTATATAGCTATTATTTTATGTAGCTTAACAACAACAATGGCCGTGTCTCTAAAAATACAAAACAAATATAATGTCTACTATATTAACACTAGTTCTGTATTTGTAGGAATGATGTTGGGTGGCTACGTGTGGGGATACCTGGCTGACAAGAGGGGGCGTCGCAGAGTCCTAGTTGTGTCACTGACAGTCAATGGAATCTTTGGAGTTCTATCCAGCTTAGCTCCTTGGTTCTGGCTGCTTTTGCTGCTGCGATTCATCAGTGGCATTGGGTATTGATGTAATCTGAGTTGATATCAACACAATGGGATTTGTTATATTAAAGCTATTAATGATCTTTATTTCTCCTATAAACCATGGCATTTGTATAATATTACAATTAACCCAATAACTGTCTTTGTCCCTGTTCTTTATTGTGTTCTCATTGGGGTAACTCTGGGCCTGTTGTAATAAAAAGAACAGATTTGTTGAGGGTAAATGTTCATGTCTTGTTTTGTAGGGTCGGAGGGTCCATCCCTGTTATCTTCTCCTACTTCTCGGAGTTCATGCCCCGACAGCGCAGGGGTGCAATGATCAGTGCTCTGGCTACATTCTGGATGGCAGGAAACATCCTGGCTGCAGGTGAGGGGGGGGAGGTGTTCAAGGAAACATCCTGGCTGCAGGTGAGGGGGATGATGTCCACATCAACTGATGTCATTGTTGACCTAGTTAAGTACACTACCCATGAGGGCAATATACATGTATGATGTCCAGGTCTGGCTTGGATGGTGATTCCCAGTACAAGTACACATTTCTTCCTGGGATCACTGGATTTCAAGAGCTGGAGGTTGTTTGTAGTTCTCTGCTCTTTTCCTGCTCTCACCTCGGCTGTGGTTTTCAGGCTCATCATGCCTGAGAGCCCTAAGTTCCTCATGGAGGTAATAAAAGTCCATGCTGAGGCCAGTTTGAGCAGGATCCTCTCTGTTTGATGCCTGATGCATCCTTGATGTTCTACCCTTTGTTTTTTACAGGCTGATCAGGAAAAAGAAGCAATCGATGTTTTTAGGTTGATGTTTGAGATAAACATGAAGGGAAAAGGAAAATCCTTTCCGGTATGAATGTTAATATATGTCAAGGCACATCCTTATTTGGATTTTCTTGTAATATACTTTATACTGTTCTGTATATTTTGTTCCTCTAATGTAAATTTAACATGTGCAGGAATTCGGTCTGTGTTCAAGCTCTAAACAAGGTTATGAAGCTGAAACCAAAAAGGTCGCACAACAAGGGTGTCTTGTCAGCTTTTTAAAAAAGGTAACACAGCCCAACATCAGCCACAAAATGGTGAAACATTGCAATGTGTCACAGTGAATTCTTTTCATTTAGCATTTAAATAAATTATAAACAAAACTTTATACCTGGATGTTTAAAGGGTTTGAAATTATTCACATAAATTTAGAAAACATGGAAAGACAATATTGGCTTTAATGTAGAAAATGGTTTAAAAAATTGAATTGACTATTGGTTAAATTGTTTATAAAGCAACATTTTAGCTGCTACAAAACTGATTTAAAAAATGTTGGGCTTTTTTTTTTTGGTTGCAGGGATTGCTTCCTGTAAAACAATTGTTTCAAGGTTCCCTCAGAACCAGCAGCATTGCTCTGCTCATCATCTTCTACTCCATCTCCTTCGGGTGAGAAATCTCACCTGTTAATGTGGACATTTTTCCATGTGATATTTCTTCTGACTTTTGGAACATTTTTACATGTCCTTGTTCAGTTTATTTTTTACAACATTCTCTATCTATGCAGTTACTATGGACTGTGGATGTGGTTCCCGGAGCTGTTTTCGAGAATTGAAAATGGAGGCTCGCCCTGTGCCAACATGTCCTCTATGTCTCCACTTGACAACCAAAGCTGTTATCCAGTCAAGACAGCAGGTGGGCTGCTGGGATACCACCAAGTGTTTGCACTCGTTTTATTGCCATTTGCTGTCTGCTGTTTCCAATCCATTACCAGAAAAGTGAATTTATGGAAACTAATGACCAGAAAATAGTCAAATAATCTTGAAAAAAGGACACTCACATATACAGTGTGTTACATGAATAATAATTTTCTCTTGGCTATAAGTATGTCATTAAAGAAAACAGTATTTCTTACTCTATGACCTGCTATGACTATAACTGTACTTTTAATCTTTATTATTATTTATTACAATTTCTTAGTTATGTGTTTTTGTATTTTGTATGTTCTAATTGTAAGTTGCTTTGGATAAAAGTGTCTGCTAAATGTATTGTTGTTTATTTACAATCTGGTTTACACATCTAGTAAAACCTGTTCTTATGATGCCTCATTAGAATTAGAAACAGTCTACACATAATTCAACATGTGCCTTATCTACATTTCCTTTTCCAACAGTGTATATGGAGGGCTTCATCATCGCTGCATCAAACCTGCCAGGAAACATCTTCACCATCCTGATAATGGACAACATAGGAGGAAAAGCTCTACTTTGTGAGTCTACTGTAATTTCCCGAGGGATTAATAAAGTTCTATCTGTCTGTCTGTCTGTCTGTCTGTCTATCTATCTATCTAAAAGTTTGGGAAAGGTAAAGTAAGTTAAGGTGATGTATTCAGGAAGGGGAGAGGAAGGAAGACAAAAGAAAGAAAGAAGAAAGCATTTACATATCAGTTGGATGATTCCATTCTTTTAGAAATGGAATCATCCAATGGGATGCACTCATGCTACAGGACAGTAAAGGTGAAATGTTGCAGAGACAACACGAAGCTTTGTGGCTTTAAAAGAATTATGTGTCCTCTCTAGAGGGAATCTCACATCTCCTCAACAATACATTAGCCCTGTTACTAAATTCTCACAGTCCCTCACAGATTTGTTGCCTGCAAACTATTTCATCCTCCACCTGCCAAGGTCCATGAGTCAGTGACTTTGCATCAGAAGGCAGTTTTTGAAACCCCAGATTAGACAAACTGCATTTATGTTTGTGACTAATGTATTACTTGTCAATGTTGTCTCCAGCCTGCAGCCTCATTGTTTCCGGTGTGAGTGTCTTCTTCATCTACTTGGTCCAAACCAAGACACAGAGTCTGATCTTCTCATGTGTCTTCAGTGGTGTGTCTGTGATCACCTGGAACTCTCTGGACGTGATAGGAACAGAGCTGTATCCAACTAAGCTGCGGTACTTCATCTCTAATCAAACTTTTAAGATAAAGTGATGATTATTTACATGATTATTTAGACTTTTACCTTTTGGTAAAATAAACAAATAGAAAAAGATAAGATTTTCTCTGTTTTAGTCCGAAGTATTAAATGTTCATGGTAGTATACAAAGAGGATAAATTATATCAAGCGAGATGTAGTTACTTTAACAAATAGAGGAACTGTTGTTTTATGTCTCACTGTCTTTTTGTCAGGTCTTCTGCTCTTGGATTCTTCACAGGCATCGGCCGAGTGGCAGCAATCATGGGGAATATAGCCTTTGGAAAGTTGGTGGACACAAACTGTGCTGTACCAGTGCTGCTGGTCTCAGTTCTGCTGCTGATAGGAGGACTGGTGGCTCTTTTGCTTCCAAAAACCAGGCAGACTGAGTTGACCTAATCTCATTGATTAACCCCTTGATGTTGTGCACATAGAAAGTTGAGTGGGTTTCTGCTGTACACAGTCTCAGACGGTGTTTTGAAGCTGGTTGGTAAATTTGGTAGTTGGCAAAAAGACGAACAGATACAGCTGTACAACTGTGGTAGTGGTACGTGTGTGAAATGTGTATTTGTTAAATAAGAACTTTTATTTTCCCTGTAAATTCAGGAAAAAGTCCCTGAATGTCTTTGTCACTGTGAGAAAATAGTCACAGGAATATCTTTTCCAATGTTTTATAGTCAGAAGTAACTGGTCTTGATTTTGTTTTTAACTTCTGGAATGAAAGAGTTTCTATAAACCAAAAAAGTCAACTTGCTACTGACCTAATAACATTTGAAGAACCTGTGTGAATGAGAATGTTTACGATTTTTTAATCGGTGATTTGAGTAGTAAATACTCGAAGGTATTTTAATGCACAAACTACTAAGTATTCAACATGCAAACTAAATACAAAGACTGTTACTGCTTCCATGTTAAATGCTATTTTCTTTTACAAATTTTGAGTTTTCACATATTTCTATTCAGGTTTCTATGCAGTTGTATATCCCTGCACGTTTCAGAATCCTTTGCAGTGTGTCATTTGCATTATGTCTTAGTTTCTAACCACTGCTGATATGTTTTAGCAGGTAAAACGGGTTGTATTCTTTTAATGTATCTGTCATTAACATTAACAGTTTGTCTGCTGAACAAGCAAACTTTAGGACTTCATTTTAAAGTAATCACATGACACTGAGCAGCATGTAAAACATAGGTTTTTTTTTTCTGTATTCAGAATTTGTATTCCCTTGACAGTCTTAAGCTGTTGACACAGTTGACATTAAGTTATTGCCTTATCTCTTGGTCTTCTATGCACAACTTGGGGATCTTTTTTCCCAAACCATTTTTCCCCCATGGGGAATCAAGAAAGGATGTGTATCCTTAACTGAAGGATGTTTAACTAAATGTACTATTTTTCTTGCACTTAAATCTCCAGAAAACCTTCACAACTCTGCAAAAGCTTTTCTACTTCTGTGTTTATCTCTGCTTAAATAATTATAGCTGATTGCTTTTGGTGAACAGGATTTTCTGTATACATGTTAAATTTATTTAGTTTTCCTCGTTTTGTTTTGTTGCTTATGACTGTTGTCTTTGTGTTTAAGGAATAATGTTTTATCGCTGGAGTGCCAGTGATGTAGCCTTGAGATTTCTTTCATTCCATGAAGTTCTATATAAAGGGATCAAATGAAACTGAAACATCAGTGTCCTTTTCTTCAGGAAAGCATCAAGCAGTTGTACTGTTGGCATTCCATATAACCAATGGAGTTAATCAAGTCAAAATAGTTTACTATTATTATTATTATTTACTCATATAAACCATAAATTGTTAAAATGTCGATTGTGTTTCGTAATTGCAAAACGTACGTAGAGTGGGAAGCTGCTCCGGTGGCTGGAACCTGATTTACGGGCCCTCGGTATGTACTACTAGAGTTCCTTATATGTTCTGTGTAGTTTATTTTTAAATAATGTTTTAGAGGAATATAGTTCATATATACATATATAAATATGTTGTTTTATTACTTTTCGGAACCTTTAGGCTTCATGACGCCACACCAATCTGACAGCACCTGTGTTTTGATGCGAGCTACTGGTCAGGACCGAGACAGGACAAACGTGCGTGGGTGAGAAACATTAAAAACAAAAACTTTTTTTTAAACTTTAATTTGTATAATAAATAAACCTGTGTTTTTACAGGAGCACATTTCACAACCACACACACGGTATCATAAGTCCTATTCAGATGTTGGAATGCCAATGAGGAACAAACACAGGCTGCGAAAAACTGACTGCTATTTTCATTGGATTTGGTTTCAGGGTCACATTATAAGTTTCCGTAGTCTTTACATTCTTCATTACAGGAGTGCTGAAGTGCCTAACTTCTCAGTTTTCCATTTGATACGATGGACATATCAGCAGGCACAAAAAGCCAAAATGAAAGTATTCACCAGGACAGTTTTACTGGACCTTACGTCTTTGGTTTAAAAAAATAAATAAATAAAAACACTCTCACACAAACATGCATTCACGGAACATAAGAACAGGGAGTAAGAGGAAAAAAACCAGAACCACAAACCTAATTTCATAAAAGATTTGAGAAGAATCACCTCACAGGGGGAACATCCCAGATGTGTCTGTCAAGTCAACAGTTGAAATGTTAATTTATTGTCAAAACCTAGAACTGCATCACTTTCATGGTTAACTCAGGAAACTGGTTGGACCAAAATATTGAAAATACTAATAATTAACTCTTGGGGAAAATGGGGAAATAACCAGTGTTTAGAATAATAATATAATATTTAAGTGAATATGTTCTCATTTTGTAGTCAGTTACATTTTATAATAGGTTTTACATGTACGTTTTGATTGTCATGGAGAAATTGTGGTTTTCTGGGAGTGCTTTAACAGATCAATAACCTGGAGATGTTCTCACTGACACTGCTTACAGAAAAAGGGCTGAATGCTACACATGTGATAAGGCTTAGAGGACGTTTATGTGAGAAGAAGCTCGAGGATGTGGGTTAGAGGAGGTGATGGTTTCAGGTTCACTGCAGGTCACTGCGTCAAAGCCAGGAGGATGTCTTTGACCAGCATGGTGCCGATCACCATTTTCTCGCAGTTGACCATCAGCTGGGCGGTTCCTTCCTCTTTGCTGGCCACTGTAACCAATACGAGACTGCTGCTGGTTACAGTCCTGCCGGAAAACCTGTGGACAGGAAGTTCAGGCGGAAGAACAGGAGGACTGAGGTCAAAGCAGCAAAGATTAGAAGCAAAGACAAAGCCATAGAGTAAAGGGGGGACACACATGTCAGTCATATGGTTCTAGAACAGAGTTGAAAGTAGTCTTACAGATGTAGCTAATTCAATGGCTGATGGCTGGATTTTTTTTCTTTTTAAATCTGTTATTATTTTCTCACTTCAAGCAAATGACTAACATTTTAGATCTTTACCTTAAATTGATTATGCATTTTAGTTGTGTTAATATCAAAATATTTTTGTATCATTCTCACCTGCACTCTTTATCTGAACCACAGGGCACTCTGCTGAGGTTGGCTGCTGTGATCACCCTCTGGACGATGGCGTGTTCGTTGCGGCACTTCACGTCCAACATCAGCTTCTCTGTGATTTCATTCATACCCATCAGCTGCCCTGTACGTGTGATTGGAAAGAAAGGTTACAGGTACATAGGGTGACTTCTCTCTCTCTCTCTCTCTCTCTCATTAGAAAAAACTAAATAAACAGTTTAACATAGAATACTGCTGGTATTCTGCCTTTCCCTCAGAATAGCATCTGTTTAGAGTCAGGAAATCTACCAGCAAGTCTTAAATATTATTTTAATATTGTTATTTGTGCCTCACAAGTTTAAAACACTTACATTAAACTATTCTACTAAAACAAAAGAAAATGTAACACACAGTATACTGGATAAAAAATGACACAGAAGACATTAAAGAATGTAATATATTGTTTCCGAAAGAAGTGTTTCGCAGTGCTACATATCTAAAGATTTCCCAAGAAATGCCACTGATATAATGATTGATCGTAACTGATTACGTTGCTATTTTAAAAACAAGTGACATTAACACTCTATTTATAACTTAAATGTTGTTGAGAACAGTCACTTTTCATGATGTTTATTTTCCATTTTTATCTATTGTTAAATGATAAAAATGGAAAATATATTATGTGAATATTTTATGAAATCAAGCAAGTTTGTAATGTTATGCCTTTTACCCAAAAATGTACCTACATTAAGTTGCAACTTTAGAGGATGTCTGAATTATTCAATAAAATATCAGTTGTTACAACTATTGCGTATAAGATAGTAGTAAAAACGTATTACAATGCATAAGTAGCATTTTATGATTACATTCATAGCTGTTTTTCAACTTAATTTATTTAAGGCAAGGTGGCCAATACTCATGCGATGATACGCTGGTTATGCTGCCCTTTAGTGGCCACATAAGTAATTTCCTTTCATTTCTACCGTAATTTCTACCTTCTTCCTACCTTGCTCCTTTTTAAACTCGTTTTCAGTGAGAAACACAGGCCTCATCAGCTCCCCGACAGGTGGCTGGATGGACACGAAAAACTTCCGGGAGTGAGTGCTGGAAAAGAGGCACCTTAGATGAATTATTTAAATCTTTATTAATAGAAGAAACATCTCATTCCTCAAAGTTCAACAAATACAGGCAAAGCTTAAAAAGTAAGGCCGGGCAGAAAAACAAAAACTGTAAGACAGACTCACCACAGCTGGAAGTTGGCTGCTTGTGTTGAGTCGCAGAAGTCAATGCCCATCACAGCAGTGGTCGTCTCACCTGCTGGCAGCAGCTCTGTTGATACAGATGGACAGTGGATGCAGTGTTTTACAAATCTATGAACTTCAGAACAAATCTGATCAATGAGAACTGGACACGATCTCCACCCCAGACTGCAAAAATGTACTACACTACAGTAATTGTATCACAAAAAATGTTCTTCAATCACCTCTCCATTTCCAACACTCACCGATCTCAGGGAACTCTTTAACCCTCATCCCAGATTGCAGCTTCACGTCCTCCATGTGAAGGTTCTTGGTGTCGTTTGTGGTGTTGTTGGTGAACTCTATTTGCACTGCCACCATGTTAGCATCAGGGCTGAATGGCTGTCGGCTGAAGCAGTACTCCACTGACAGACCCTCACCCGTGATCCGGTGCAGGAGCTCGTAGCTTTTCGTCGCACTAGAGGGAGAGATGGTCTGTGGACAGAAGGAGTATTAACGAACCACTACATCTAGTTACTGATCACTTACATTGTAGTTACCATGGTATTTAAGTGCTGTCTTCAAGGGAGGAAATCAAGATGCATAGATAGGTAAAATATGAGAAACTTTGAATAATCATACTATTTGTGACCATGTCTGACTTTCACATTTGGTGGCTGATGATAAGATCAAGTCTTCTGGCTTTGCAACATTACCAAAACTGGGAACAGAGGTTAGTATCTGACTGTGACTGTGAGGCTTCAGGAAATTTCACTAAAATGTACAGTATTTCCTGTATTTCAAATGCCCCAACAACCTCTGCTGACAACAATTTCTATTTACAAATATATGTATATGTATCCTGGTCGTAACATCCTTTTTATGTTGTTCGATAAATGAAACTGAGTTAGAAATTAACTTCAGAAGTGTGAAGAAAAAAGAGTTTTGAGGCACTCACTGCAGGAGACAGAACATTGTCCGACAGGGACAAGCCCTCCAGATCTGTGACAAGGCTGTTGGACAGGAAGTTGTTGACAGGTGTAACTTGAGGTGAAGGTGCAGGTTCAACTAGGAATAAGAGCGAGCAGTGAGAATCTGCTGTGACATTCCAAAAGTATTTCTTACTTTGCATTTTATTTAAATTAGTTTTAGTTTTAGAATTTTTCCTGCTGTGACCATTTTGACAATGGAAACCACTTTTTGTTTACTGATGTCATTTCGATGATTTAGTGTTGTCACTATTCAACATAGAATTAAAATTACCACAGGAATCAATAAAAACTCACAGTCATCGAGGTCAAGTAGAGACATTTCTTTCTTCCCCTTCTTGTTGTCTGTCTTTGCAGGTTTGGGGGGAGGTTTTGTCTGTGCTGTCTGTAAGGGGGAAACAATTCTTTTACATCTGGGTCACCACTGTCTGGTGGAAATATGGAAATATTTTTATTTTAATTGTAGGTTTTCGTTTTGAATAAGAAGACATTCATTACCTTCACCTTTTTCTTTTTGACCTCTGCCTCTGAGTCAGAGTCTTCCGACTCTGATTGGCTGCTCTCAGACTCGCTTTCATCCTCCTCCTCTTCAGACTCCGATTCTGAGTCATTCTTACGTTGTCTACGCTTCCTCTCATTTTTTCTCTCTTCTTCTTCACTGCTGTTCTCACTGAATTAAAAAAATCATAGGGCAAAGGTCTCAAATAGGAGCTTATGTCCTGAAGGAAAAGCCAGGACTTAATAGAAATCAGAAGTGTCCTACCTTTCACTTTCCTGCACTGGCTTCTTTATTTCCTTATTTTTCTTCTTCTTCTGGTCTTTCTCCTCTCCCTCCTCTTCTTCTTCCTCCTCCTCAGACTCAGAGCCTTCTTCACTCTCTTCACTCTCTGATCCTGACCCACTCTCTTCACTGCCACTGCCACTCTCTGAACCACTGGCAGAATCTGACTCTAGAAAACCACAGGTGAAAAGTGAGGTTTTTTTAGAGAGTAGTTTGTGCCTTAACTCTTTAAAGGTTAAAAACATGGTCAAATATAAAGAATGAAAGGACATTTATTTCATGTAATATTTTTCTATTTTCCTGAATATTACAGATCTATCACAAATAGAATTACTTCACAGTGGAGTAACAATAGTTATTTATCACATTTTGGAACTTGTAAGGGTATGGGCACTGCTCTGTTTGGGGCTGAATTTCAGGTAGCTATTGAATAAAAAAGCTATTAGCCAAACACTTTCAAGACTACGTTGATAAGACTAATTTTGACCACATGAAGTTTAAAACACTCTCTCTCTCTAATGTTACCGCTATCGGCTGATTCTGTTGGCCCAGATTCTCCCTCTGAGTCGGAGTAGAATGGCTTCTCAACTTTCTTTTCTTTCCGCTTCTCACGGCTGCTACACTTGGTCCATTCAGGCACCTGTCAGGGGAAGCAGAGGGTTCAGGGAGTCATTTGTCAGCTCTGCCTTAGAAGAAAAGCCCCTCAGACAGATGCAGAGGCGTGGGCAGATTATTACAGTACAGCAGCATGGCCATGAATGCCTCTGCCTGGGTGTGATGTAGACAAAGAAAGCCAGCCATCCCTGTTGCAGATCAGCTTTTAGATCCAACATGTCAGGCAACAAATTTATTTCAGAAACTATTGTTTGTATGGATATATTTTTCGCTTTCTATCTCTGAACAGACAGATGTGAGCACCAGGTGATACCTTCATGACCAGCAGAAATTAAAATCATTTAATACAGGGAGCAGTTCCATTAAGAGAAGTGTCTTTTAAGGGTGTTCACTTACCCTCCTCCTACATTAAAAAGGAGGACATTTGTCTTTGTTGTGACCATGTTCATTATCCAGCGCTGTCAGATAATGAACACACACATCTGCACACTGCATTTAAAAGCTGCGGGGTCTCTAATGCATCGCAGTGGGTCGGCAGAAGGAACATCCTGCTAAAAGAATCACTTCTTTAATGGTGAGGACTAAGGAGGAGGGGCTTGTGTTTCAAGGAGCTGTGGCTGAGCTAAGCACAGAACAGCAACTACATCATAGGCAGGGTTGTCAGAAAGCACTTGGGTTTTTGGCAGCTAAATGTGGGTTTGAGGCTCAAGGAGATGTGGCTCTTTGCCGCTCACTGACTCACACTCGTTAATGTTGTGACTCTTTCAAGCAGCGCAAAAACCTGGCAGACGTAGAAAAGAAAAAAAGATTGGAACGTTGGTGAGAAGAGAGAAAAGGAAAGAAAATATTTGTTTAGAAGAAAGGTCAGAAGAGCAAAAGTCACAGGAACAGGAAGGTTTCTGGGTTCTCTGTGTGAGGACAGCAGTGGAAACAACAGAGACAAATATTATCCCCAAATTCCATCACATGATTTATGTTGCTAGTATGTCTTTTATGGTAGACACATTCCAATATAACTCTAGATTAAAGCATACACTCAGACATAAGCCCTAAATACTGTAAAAATACAACATTTAACGTCAGTGTCACTGATGATGTAGAGTAGGATCGTCTGTATGAATAGAGAAGCATGATGGTCTACAGTCATGATGTTTAAATGAGAGGGATGAATAGTGAAAGGTGTGGAGATGCCTTCACGGTTACGGAGATGGGAAAAAAAAATCACATCACTCAGTGTCACACAACATTTGGGACACATTTACACACAAATTTGTGTCACAAATTTCATAGAAAACTTGAAATTGTAAAGTAAAGGTCAGTCAAACTATCCTGATCATCACCAGTTAGAGTTGTTCATTAGTTAATAATAATTGAGTCCCTTATTCAGGACGTATTCTGTGAAACAAATACAACTTTGTGCCCCTTCACGTTGGCACGTCTGTTATCCATTAGCTATTGTTGAAGCTGTTCTACACACTTGATTTAATGATACTTGTTTTGCCTTTTTCGGACCTATTGTTGTTATTTGAAATTTCAATTTTACATTTTCATATTAGACAGCAACCAGGAAGAGGCTGAAAGAGGAAGAAAATAGCTTAGTCAAGGAAGCAAACAGAAAATAACACTGCAATCCCAAACCAGTTCAGGATGGAGGGGCGAGCACCTCTCGCCAGTCGCCTAACAAGCCGATCCTCCCTTCTCCAGCTGTTATGACATCCTCTGTCTGTGGAGACGTGTAATGAGCAGAGGGAAATTCAGTCAGGGGCGTGTGATTTCAAAGGAATTACTGATCCAACGTGGGCTTCATTACAGACCCGGGGAGTTCATCAGGGACTTAGCTGTTATCGTTACTGTTACTACAAATAATTAATGTACCATGTTTGACTGTCTGCATAAAAAACACAGATTTTCAAAGTCCTACATAAAAACAGCTTGATCATTATTGTCTAAATCGATTGGTTCTAGTGGTTATGAAAATGAAAAAATCAAGTTAAAACAGCTTGATCATTATTGTCTAAATTGATTGGTTCTAGTGGCTTTTAAGTTGCTGCTAGAAAATATCATAAGTCCAGTGCTGTAAGAGTTAAAATAAAGCCTGCAAATGCAAGGACTAAATATGTAGAAATCGTATTAGGTTCAGTTATTTAGTTTAAATAATGTGTGTAGATTCCATTAAGAAATATGGCATTGTGGAATTGTAATAAACTGGGTTTGTAGAAAGTGTATTCTGATATGAACGCCTTATTAATTAGATTCTCACCAGACCACGGTGAAGCAAGTGAAACTAGAAGCTGACACTGAAAACTGAGATGCAGGATTAAAGCGTGATGACAGTAAATCTATCATATTGAAATCTGATCTACTCAGTCTAATTCATGCCTCTACCTGTTGTTGTTTCATCAGTTTGAACTTTTCTTTTTCACCAGTTAAATCAAATTTAAAAGCCTTATCTTGAAATCTGCATCACAAACAGACACCATGGGGACCATATGAATGAACCATACGTGTTAGAATCACATTAGCAGACAACAAACATGATGACAAAATCAAGCCTTGTGGGTCACTGCAGAGACTTAAAATCAGTGGATTTTAGGTCACACTTGACCCGTGACTCAAAGTCTTGATTCCATGCTCACATGCTCATGTGTTACACATGTGCTGAGTGAACCGATGGCACATGGAATAGATGGAATGGAGAAGAAGAGGATGCTGTGTTTAGAATTAAATCTCAAATTAATCAATATATGTTTATGTTAATCACTGGGCTGCCACTGCAGAAACCTGGCTGCAGCTGCCAGATTTTTGTGCAGGTATATGTCGACAAGAGACAGTAGTGGTTGTGTTTCTTTGCTTCTGACATTGGTATTAACAGGGATTATGTTGTGTTTGAATGTGTCACATGTGCAATTGGCTCAGACAACTGTGAGAAATCACCAGGACAAGAGACGAGAGCTGCTGCCAAACAGATACAAGTGCAGCAGGGAAGGGGAGGAGTTTTGGACCAGATGGGGTTTTTTTTTATGTGAGTAGAGAATTTTCAAATGTTTCAAATGTAAATTTCGCTCAAACAAATCCTCTTTTCTCCTGTTACTGTCTCGTTTATGGAAAGAGGAGCGATTGTAGGTGCAGGCCAATAATAATGCATGTGTCTGATGAGTTGTTTAATGCTAATGAGCTGTAAGCGCATGAAAAATGGCCAATGAAAATGTTGTATCTGAGATAATGTTATATTGGATGTGGAGTAGTGGTGAATCTGTGCGACCCCTCTGAAGCATTGCCCTGGGGCAGGAGCAACTCTCGCTCCTCTCCGTCTTTTGGGGCCCCTGGAGTCCCCAGAGGGCCACAGTGTCTCTGTATGTTACTGTTCCCACTGCACGCACAGACTCCTTCACCTCCACGTTGCGCACGGAGGGGTCAGGGGCAGCTTCAGGCCAGTCAGGCAACTCCTGGTAGCCCCCAGCCTTGGCATTCAGCAGGTGGGACAGTGAACCCAACTGGAAGTGGTCTCGATCTGAAACAGTAGCAGAAGTCAGGGAAACTGATCATTGTCCACTGAAACTTAAGTAAAAAGTATAGTAAAATGCAGTGTTCTTAAATTTCTTTAAATTTGAAAACTATAGACATAAACAACAAGTAGTCTTTACAATTAAACTAATGTATCCAGTCACACATGAACAAGGCAGTTTTCTGTACCTTTAAATGGAGACTCGAGGACTGGAGCCGGTTTCAGGGCGAGGAACAGTTTCTTAGCGTACTTGCTAAGAGCTCCACACTTCTCGGTGGGCACGATAAGCTGGCGTATGAAGCGCGCCCGATCACGGATGTCGTAGTTCTGGTCGTACTTGGCCAAGTTTAGAACATACTGTGTCAACAGCTTGGTCTGCAAGGACACAAAACAAATAAACACAGATTGCAAAAGTATTTGCTGATAAAACTGTTCCTTACAGGACTGTGTAGTGAGAAGCTGATAGAAATGTGACAACACTGCTGTCAGTAACTCAAGTCAATGAAGAGATGTGACTTCTGAACATGAAGAACTGATACATTGAATAGTTCTGCAGTAAGACAGGTGTTGTGAGTATAGACCTGTTTGGAGTTGGTGAGATACAGCTTGGCAGCCAAATTGATAATCTGCAGTTTGACTATGTCTTCTTCGTTAGTGAAAGACTTGGCCATCTTCCTCAGAACATCCGGGGCGATCTTGGGAACATGCTCACAGTATTCTCCAATCAGCCACAGGATACTGGCCCGTGCCATTGGCACCTGGACACAGGGATCAAATTACATGATTGCAGTTTATATACTTTTGCTACTGCGCTTGATATTAAAATAGACGTTTTTGGGTTATACTTTACTATAAAATAGACGTTTTTGGGTTATACTTTTTGGGTTATAGTACATTTCTTTATTTTAATGCAGAATTTTCTTTTTGTTCCAGTCTTTTTGGCCAAATCATTATTTCGACTCTCACTCACCTGGATGTTGTCAGTGAGTTTTGCCATGTGCTTGATGATGTCACTGTGCTTCTCTGGTTGCATCTGCAGCAGCTTCTTGATTACAACCACAGACTCGGCCACAACGAGCTCTGTACAAGAGGACAAAGTCAGACAAGTCAGTCAAATCTTTCAAAGTTATAAACAGCAGTTTAAACAATAATTAATAGTTGATCATTAAACTAAATTGTCAACAAAGTGCCTGATACCACTATATCCACCATATTAAAACAAATAAAAATAGAAAATATGAGCTTTTCAAACGTACCATCCCTGTTGGACAGAAGCTGCACCAGTCCATTCAGACATGTGTCTCTCACTTCTCCGATGTTGGTGGCACAACGGCCGATGGCCTGAATGGTAGCAGCGACAAAGTCTTTATCCATGCTTTTAATGTACGTCTGACAGAGAAACAAAAATTTTCGATGATTACAATTTTCAATGATGCAGTTTATTTTCCCGTTGGGAGCTGCACAATATTGAGTCGCAAGAAGACAAAGCTGTACCTGAAACTCCCTGAGGATAGTGGAAATATTTGTCTCATTAGCCAAATTGGTGAGAACCTCCAGCTGTAAAAGAAAGAAGTTAAAGAACGGACAGAAGAAATGCTTTACTCCGTATTACTAATTAGTCTTTTTTAATTGCATTGTTTATTGCCGGCAGTTGTGCCAGTGCCTGTGCTATAGCCACAGAGAAGGTTGTTGTGTTTACATTTATGCAATCACAAAATATTAGGTGAACATGAGGATATAAACTAAGAACCTTCAGGACTTTGATCTGGGTCGGGTCTGTGGAGCGGATGTAAAAACTCTTCAGGTATGGCTCAAACATCCCCTTTAGAAACAGGGAAATGAAAAAAAACGTTGTTAAAACGGTAGCCATTTTGTCATTTGTATGAAGTTGTCTGATGTTGTGAACAGACAGTGTCACATAAAGTACAGTAGAGCTCACCCTTCGCTTGATTGTCATTGTTGCCACGTTCTGAAGAACAACATACTGCACCTCACTGCAGAGCAGACACAGACAGACGAGGGGAACAGAGAATAAAAGAGCAAAGCATGGAATAAAAGACTGATTAATCGTCTCTGTGAGACTAACCTGAGATTTAATGCATTAAATCTCTATGATTATACGCTATGATTATAATCTATTCTTTTTTTATATAAAGATTAGAAATTGGCATCTGTATTTTATTTTTCTTATTTTATCCTCCAATGTAACATTTTTTAACTCTCTGGTCAGACCTTAAAAAGGTCTTTATTTTATTGCTAAGGCTATTTAGTATTTTAAAAAAATATTTTTTAAGTAAAAAAAAAAATCCAAATATTTGGTATTTGAAACTTAATAAATTCTCTAACATTTAATGCTTTGCTTTTACACTCTTTTCTCTAACATTTAATGCTTTGCTTTTACCACCTGTACCTGTTCAGTATTTTAGAATATATCCAGATATACACTCTTACTTACATGGAACCTGAAGTTAAATTAGGAAGCAAATATATATTTTTTCAACTTTTTGCGTTTAAATAAAATGTGACGTTGGATGGAGAGGCCTGTGAGTCAACATCACTCTTTATGGTTTATGCCTTTGTTTTTTAGCCTCAGTGAGCCCTCCCTTCATTTCCACTCTATCTACCAGGGCCATAAACATTTGTTCTGCCTCCCACACTTGTCATTTTCTTATCATCACACTGTTTTCCATATTGATGAGTTTCATGATCATTATGGGTTTTTTTTCTCATGTCACGTTTAATTTGTAGTTTTATTATTTTCAGCCTTTGCAGTGTTTTTTATGCTGCAGAGAGAGCTCCTCCTGCTGGTCTGAATGTATGATCAGGTCAGGTTGCTTTTTAAATTGATGTGTTATATCATTTTAGACAATGAGGGCTTTTTTTTAGATCCTTGAATACCTTTTGGATAGGTGGTCTTTTTTTATCTCTTCTGGGTAACTTTTCTTGTTAGCGTTTTCTTTTACAATTAGTCATCATGGGGATTTCATTTAGTAATGTCAGACATGTGTCAATAGAATGCTTGCTAATTTGGCTAATGGCATACAATGGAAAAATTAGATGTCTTGCGGAAATTAAATACATTTGTTAAATCGCACTGCATGTTAGAAAGTGTATCATGGTGTTCAGTCTTAAAGAAGAGCAGTTTAATATCATCACATCACCTGTGGCTCCTCAGGAGTCGGACCAGGGCCTTTGCAATGACACCAACCTCTGCTTTAGGAGCAAGATGGAAATAGAGCTGAGCTACAGCCATGACAACCTGGAAATTACAGAGAATGAGAAAAAAAGAGGTAGCGATAAGACTTGTGTGGCAACCCAGTCTCTCAGGAATAGTTGTCAAAGACTCTTGTGCTGTTGTGTGTAACGTCAAGTCATTGTTTTTACTGCACAATGGATTTACTCATTTAGGGCTATTTGGCAGCACGAGAAAAAGAACGAGATATTTTAAAACCTTTCTTTCCACTGGCTTTTGCAGAAGCACAAACAGTACATGAGGGATTTGAGCTCAGGTAGTGTATACACAGGCAGTACACTCAAGACAGTAAACCACCTGAGGTGACATCAGACACTTCACTGCATTCACTTCTTGGCAGGTATCTGACCATAACTTACAATAAACGCAGTGACAAACAGCACTGAATCAGAAGAGTGCTGCTCTTAAAAAAAAAGAAAAACAGCGGCTGCCAACAGCTAATGCTGTATAAAAGCTGCTGGCAGTGGTAGCGGTAAAAATAATGTGTGACAGGTGAATTTCATAGCATTAAGCACAGAGAAAAAACACTCCATTTAGGGAGAGGACAGCTGTAATGCTGTGTAATGTCTCCTCTGGTCCAGTCTGAGACTGTGTCCTGTCTCCAATGTCAAAATTACATGGACATTTTAGCAGGAAGGATGCTAATTAAATGAAGCACTGCTGTAATAATGAATGAATCACATCAACCTGCGGCTCAGCGTATGAATGAATAACCACCGCCTGATGATGATAAGTAGAGAAACTGTACATTGGACTGGCCTAATCAAGTGTGTGTGTGAGAGCGAGCGAGAGAGAGAGAGAGAGAGAGAGATAATTCAGAAGTGCAGTGGACTCACAGCTGCGTTGCGACTCTGCAGCAGAGGCTTAGTGTTCCTGAGCAGAAGGCGATGATCTGGATCCATGACGTAGGGTTTCCTTTTGGCCAAGGCCGCAGCCTCGGATTTTTTCTCCTTCTCCTCCTCCTCATCATCCTCGTCTTCCTCAGAGCCATAGAAAGTCTTCTCCCCGCCTCCTCCCTCCTCTAGCAAAGACTCCTGCAGTGACAGCGGGGAGTGTAAATTCTGCCTCTCCTGCATGGGAGGTGGTGACTAGCTGCTTAAAAGTCACATCATTGTCCTTCTGGATACATGTGTTAAAAATGATTGGACTGAAAGCAATTGATTAATTGATGTTAATATTTCTGTATGACTTCGTTTCTCTCTATGGTCAACGCACTAACAACAACAAAACAATCCATTTACCCTCAAAAAAGTGAATTATCTAAAATGGACAGTTAGTTAGATTTTTGTTTGACTCACGTTGATGTTTGGGTTAAGGAACTGTGTTCTGGCGTAGCGGGTCAGCATGTTGATGATGACCACCTGCCCCCACTCCTCCACATCTATCAGCAGGTTACACAGCTTCCTGTAGTTCTTGTGGATCAGGTCAATGCGCTCAGGGCACACTTCCTCGAAGGCCATGACCACACTTCCTGCCACCAACTACAGTGTGATTGGAAAAAAAATCAGATACCATCCATTATGTCTATTGTCTTGGTGAAGAACCTGAAGCCTAGAGTAAGAAATATTAGGCTACTTAGAACATGAGGCGTCAATTTAATGTTGCATGAACCCACCGTGGTTTTGTCAGCGAGGAGTTTCTCGATGACTTCAATCAACTGATCCTTCTGTTCTGGATCCAAACTGGGAAAAAATACACCGAATAACAGACTTATTTTATTGTACAAAAAAATCCACATAGCATTTTGTTTTATCTTTCCACTTGTAACAAAGCATATTCTGCACAGTGAACTGACAATTCTAAAATACTTCTTTTTTCCCCAGTAACAAATCTAGAATTACAATTACTTTAATCTTTGTCACACTGACCTTTGGACATTTCACTAAGCTTGTTAACGTGAAAATGTCAGAACAACCTGCATCTGTGACTCACATGTCTGTCATTAATTTGTTTGTTTTTACACCTTGATCACCTGTAGAGTTTAGGAATAGCATGAGCAGCAGTCTTTCTGACGTATGGAGACATGTCGGAGGCAGCTTCTTTGATGGCCAGCATCATGATGGGGACAATTATAGTAACTCTGATGCTGGAGAGAACTCTCAGGGCGCTGGCTCTGATCAGCTGGTTAGGATCCTTTAGAAGTAAAAAAAAGAACAGCGTTGTGTGTTTTAATTGGTGATTATTATCTGGCTTTATGTTTATGGTCAATACTTGTATAAAATCTACAAAAATCAAATTCAAAGTTAATATTTAAAAAATGTTTTGTTAATCAGCAAGTAATTCATTTATTAGGATTTTTTTTTGACAAATTCAAAATCTGTGTGTGTGACCTTCAGTCCTCTCTGAAACGTGGATATGGAGAGCAGAGCCAGGTCCTGCTGCTCCTCAGCGTAGCGAACCAAATAGACATATACCAACTTCTTCACCTACAGAAAGAGAAAACATCAAGGCTTTCATCAGGGGATAAACATGAATAAGAAAATGTGATTTTCAGTGTTGAAACTAAACAAGTGTGTATTAAGTGTAATAATAAAATAGTTTTAGGAATATTACCTAGAGTATTGTACGAACCAACACAACAATCGTGAATCTGCACAAATAAATTGTGTAAAAAACATTACAAACCTCTATGTTTTTACAGGCCACGTTTTTCACCACAGCAGGAAACAGATCGGATGCGTTTTTACCTCGGGCGATCATCTGCACACAAACCACACAAAACATCATTG